AATCTCTTTTATTATAAATATATTACCTTTTAGCGATGAAAATTACAATAGAAAACCTCAAGTTGGAAAATATTTAGTAGAATTAAACAATTTTGAGTCATTAGTGTTACCAGTAATAGAATCTCATGTAAGTAAATTAGCAAATAATTAAAAAAACTGTTTCGAGTCTAATTTTACTTTTTCCAAAATCCTACTTAAGAAAATATTTCAATTTAAAAATTTTGTTTTCGTTTAAAATGAATTAGATTTTAAAAATTTGTTTACTTTAAACTGATTTAGTAAATACACTTCAGAATACATTAAATATACTTTATTATGAATATGCGTTTATAAAAAATAAAAATGAAAATTTTTTTAGGAAAAAAATGCAATATTGGTTATCGATGAAATAGGCAATATGGAACTATTCAGTAAAAAATTTAAAAGTTATATTGAAAAGGTTATCAATAATCCTGAAATTATATTAGTAGCTACTGTACCACTTAAATCGACAAATCCTCTAGTTGAAGGAATTAAAATGCATCAAAGTGCAGTATTAACAACGGTAAGTAATTAACCATTTTTAAAACGAAATTAGATTTGAATTAAAAAAGATACTATACTTATTTTATTTTTATAGGTAAACAGGCAAAATAGAAATGGAATACCTAATGTAATATTAGAAATGTTAAACAATTTGATAAAATAATAACATAAGATCAATAATTTATTTTTTTTAAGAACCGTAAAAAAATGTTAAAAGTTCCTCTTTTGTCGATGGAAAATTTTTACTTTCTGATGTTTTATTAGAATTACTTTCATCTAATATTTTATTTTGTTCAATATCTGAATTATTTATTTTTGTTGTTTCATTGTCTGGGTTATCAATTGTTACATAACTTTCATGTTCTTTAATTTTTTTGTTGCTAATAAAATCTTCTGTTTCTTTACTTTTTTCTTTAAACAAATTATTTTCAGATATTTCACAAATTATATCACTTTTTGAAAAATCACTCTTATTTGTTTCTATTGTTTTTTTTATAATGTCATCATTATCATCATCTGTATAGTGATCATCCTCGTTTTCAGTATCAACATCGTAAGGATTAAAACTTTCATCTATTTTTCCACGGCTAATAATATTTTCCAGATAAGCTATTTTTTCTTTTTTTGTATTAAGCAATAACTGAAATTTTTTATACAAGTCAGTTTCCATATTTATTTTTACATTTGTGATCTCATCTAATTTACTAAACAATTTTTTGTTTTCTGAAATATTGATTATAAATTGAATAGAAGAAAATATGAAACATAAAAACTTTTTTAAATGTTTGTGCACACAAGAAAATTACACAATGCATTATACTGGATTATATTATAATATATTAATTTAAATTATACTAAAAACAAGTAATCTCTGTTGAATTTAATTTACATTTACTCACCAGATAAATTTTTTTCATTTTCTTTTTTCAATTCTCCGACTTCTTTTTTTAATTTGTCATTTGAATTAAGAGCTACAGTTAGACATTTTTGAACAGTCTCTTCAAAATTTGCAGGCAATAATTTAACAGATCCTATTTTTAATTTAATTCCACTATCTTCATCAATAATTTTTTTCCACACAAAACATCCATTCTGAACCATGTAACTTATTTTTGGATATCCATTATGTGTTGTTAAAATTTCTTTGCACTGATTAAAATAGTCATTTGTTTTTATATTTAATTCATTGCTCATACTATTTATTTCACTTTCTGTCATCTAAAAATTTTTTTTCATACTTCATTATTCTAAAAAAAAAAAAAAAAATTATGGTAATGAAAGAAAACAAACCTAACCTCACCACTCCAAGCTCCATTTTTTGACGTAATATTTATAATAAAACTATTTTTCTTCCAAATTGTATGAAGTCTGTAATAACCATTTAAATCTTCTTTGTCAACGGAACAAACAAATTCTTCTTCAACGGAATCCATTATTTTATTCTTTGGTTATTCAACTATAAAATAACCTTCAAAATGGCAATTAATTACTTTAAAAAAATATAATTATTTATAAAACGCAATATTGAGAAAATAATTTTTAAAATTTAAACAAATATATTATTTTAAATAATATATTATTTAAATCATATTAAAATATTTAAAAAAAAAAAAAAACTTTTTATCAATGGCTAACGAAATTCGGATTTAATAATATATACAGATTTAGAAGATTGATTAATTCATTATCATCAGTTTTTTTTGATTTTCCTCATAAAATTTCTAATTATTTTATTTTAATTACTTTATATATCTTTTTAATTATTTATTTAATAACTTTTTATAAGTTTAATGCTCAATTAATTAGATTTTTAAAAGTTTTTCTTTTTTTTTTTTTGAAGTCTTGCCTTTTACAAACTTTCATTAATTAGCAAAATGATGTTTGTAATAGTTCTTATGATAAAATGTAAAAATTTAAAAAGCAAAATTAATAAAGTTTTAATATTAAAATTTATAATTAAATGTTGTTGGCATATTTAGCAGGTTATGAAAAATAAATTTTTTATATAATATCAATTAAAAAACAAAAAAAAATAAAATGTTATTCAAAAACTTTAATCGAGATTCATAAGTAGTACTATTATGATAAAATTTTTCATACAACAATAAATACTGGAATATAATATTTCATTTTTAAATACAAATTATAATAATTAAATTATATTGTTTAACATTTTACAGAAGGCAGTTTCTGTGTATTTTTTTTTGGTATAAAAATAATTTAACAAAAACTTTTTAACCATATTTTAAAAAAATTTTAGAAATTATTTAATCTTTACAAATTGATATTTAAAATATATATATATCTATACATATATAGAATTTAACATTTTTATTCTTCCCAATCTTCATCTTCTGTGGCAGATGAAATATCTTGCTGGGTTGGTGGTGGAATCATGGCAGAAACTTTATCCATTGCACTAATCGTAGGACCAGAATCCTTTTTTACTTTTCCAGAAATCCCTTTTCGTCTCATAATTAATTTATTATGTAAATCAGCCATTAAATCTCCGCCTTTTGATGCTAAGTGTTTTTCCTCCTTAATTCTTTTTGTTTCATCTCTTCCACTTTGAATTGGTCTCAACTTGCTTTTCCCTCCAGCATTTCTAATTGCAGCCATCAAATTAGCTCTTGCATCAGTACTTGCCACTTCAGTAACAAGTGATGTTGCACTAATATTGTCGACTGTGTTGTTATTTACAGCATTATCGTCAGGAGATATGGGTGGAGGAGGGGGCGGTGGAGGTGGTGGTGGAGGAGGTAAGGAATGTGGTAAAGGAGTGGAATTCATTAATGAATTAAAATTTATGGGTAATTCAGATGGTAAAATTGAAGAATTTGATTCAGGCAGCTCTAACTTGTTACCATTGTCGTTTATCTTTACATCAGAATTTTTACTATTAGAAAGGTTGTCAAACATATTTTCCAGCAAAGGGGGCAAATCAGGCATTCCAATACTTGAAGATGGAGCAAAACCAGGGTCTAAATCTAAGTTATATTTTAAATCATCTGCTATACCTGGAAGGTCAGGTAAATCTAAAGGTGCATCTAAGTTGGGAACATTACCTAAACTTGGTGAATAAAAATAATCGTCTCTAATTTGATTGTTTAAGGATTCTTGCTGAGTTATGGAAATTGGAGCTGCCTCCATTTCTGTGACAGTTTTCTCAAAGGTAATCTTTTTAATTTTGGTAAAAGCTCCCATTGGATCAAGAGCTACATATCTTTCATAAGGATTTTCGGAAGTATTGAATAGGAGAAGAGATGAAACAGATTCAATATTTTTAGGTAACTGTCCGAGACCATTTTCTAGTTGATTATCAGTTTTTTTTAAATTAGGTTTACATTTGACATGAAAAAATTGAAGTTTTTCTTCAACTGATGACAAGTTTTTATTAACATTTGACTTTTCAATCATAACAACTTTTGTCGGATTAAAATTTTGTCTTTCGATATTACAAAAAATTGATTTATAATTTTTTGGAAGATCATTGCCTGGATATTTGGAAGTTGAAAATATTTGAGTT